GTCGTCGTCTGTGTTGTGGTTCGTCGTGTCTTATCTGGTGGTGGTGGTGGTAGTCAACTTGTGTAGTCGACGTTGGTGGTCAAGGAGTGGTGGTTTTTCGTGGTGGTTTTCGTATCTGTTTTTCAGTGGTGCTCTCTGGTTCTGTATTGGTGTGTAGTCGACTGGGTGTTCTTGACACCGTCGACTGGTGTTGAGTTGTTGTGGTTGCCTGGTTGTTGGGTATTTATCGCAGTTGACGTTGAGAAGTGTTAAGTTTGGAAGATTAACATAATATTAGAGACAATATTTAGGGAGAAACAGAGAAAGGTTAAAAAAACTTAACCTAGCTCTCATACATCACTTATATTTATAGTTAACCTACAATAATAAGAATTACACATACTCTCTTTCTATTAACAATTTACACATACTACCCTACTATTCTTAACACTCCTCCTCAAACTAGACTATATATATATCATATAATCCAAGCTTGAAACAAATAGTTGTAAGACGTGTACGACTCAATGTTTTGGTAAACATATCTGCAAGCTGATCTTCAGAGTTCACAAATGGAGTTGTAATCTCCCCAGCTACTATCTTTATCCCGAATAAAGTGATAATTAACCTCAATATGTTTGGTTCTCTTGTGAAACACAAGATTGACAGCGATATGGATAGCTGTCTGGTTGTCACAGAACAACTATAAAGGAAGTTGAAACTGGAAACCCAATTTCTTGGAGGAAGTGTAGTAGTCAAGTCAACTTACTCGTCGTATATGTCGTTGCCCTATACTCAGCCTTAATACTGGATCTTGTTACCACAGATTGTTTCTTACCTTTTCACGAGACAACGTGACCTCCTAAGAAAGTACAATAACCAGTGGTTGATCTCCGATCAGAAGGAGAGTCAGTCCAATCAGCATCAGAGAAACCTTTCACTTTAAAATGTTCATTAGCTCGATATAATAGTCCAAGTCCAGGAGCTCGTTTGAGATATCGCAGAATACGAGTAACTGCCTCCCAATGTGGTACTCTAGGACATCCCATGAACTGACTTACCGCCTTCTGATCGCCGTCCTCGCCCATCGACAAAGGTGCCCGTATCATCTTCCTTGCTGCCTTCTGATCCTGGTACATTAGGTAATTTAAACTCTTTACCTATTGCTCTTCGAAAAGGTATTCGTTCGTGTGTTACCGATCATCCCATTGCTCATTTTGTTTCATATGATGCCTTGTCTCTTGTCTTCTCTTGTTTTACTTCCCAATTATCTACTATATCTATTCCTAAGCAATTACAGGATGCATTATCTGATCCGGGTTGGAGGAAAGTTATGGAGGAGGAGATGGATGTCTTACATCATAATGGGACTTGGAATCTCGTTCCTTTACCTCCTGATAAACGAACTGTTAGTTGTCGTTGGGTGTATACTGTTAAATTTCATCCGGATGGTTTTGTGGAGCGTCTTAAAGCCCGACTTTTTGCAAAGGGCTTTACTCAGACTTATGATATTTATTATGAGGAGACTTTCTCTCTTGTTGTCAAAATTTTCTCTGTTCATATCTTGATTTCTTTGGCTGATAATCTTGATTGACCCTTGTTTCAGTTAGACGTCAAGAATGCCTTCTTACATGGTGACTTGGTTGAAGAGGTATACATGGAGCAGTCACCTGAGTTTACTGCTCAGGAGGAGTATGGTAAGAGTGTATGTCGGTTAAAGAAATCTTTGTATGGTTTGAAACAGTCACAGACGGCATGGTTTGGTAAGTTTTCAAATACAGTTTTAGAATTTGGTCTTTTTCGATGTCAGACAGATCATTTTGTGTTTCATAGACAGATAGATACAGGATATGTTCTATTGGCGGTCTATGTAGATGATATTGTGATTACTGAAAATGATTCTGAGGGGATTGCCAAGTTAAAAATATTCTTGCAGGACCGATTTCATACTAAGAATTTGGGAAACTCAAGTATTTTTTGGGTATTGAGGTAGCTCGATCTAAACAAGGTATTTGTTTATCCTAGAGGAAATATGTGCTTAACATACTAGAGGAAGCAGGTTTGCTGGGTGGTAGACCTATTGATGTTCTTATGGATCCGAATCAGAAACTTTTGATGGATGATGGTGCACTGTTTGAGAATCCGGGTCGGTATCTCAGATTGGTTGAGAAGCTCAATTATCTCACTATTACTCGATTGGATATTTCTTATGCAGTCAGTATAGTAAGTCAATTCATGGGTGTCCTAGAGTACCACATTGGGAGGTAGTTACTCATATTCTGTGATATCTCAAACGTGCTTGTGGACTTGGATTGTTATATCAAGCTAATGGACATCTTAAAGTGGAAGGTTTCTCTGATGCTGATTGAGCTAGCTCTCCTTTTGATCGGAGATCAACCACTGGTTATTGTACTTTCTTAGGAGGTCACGTTATCTCATGAAAAAGTAAGAAACAATCTGTGGTAGCAAAATCCAGTGCTGAGGCTGAGTATAGAGCAATGACACATACGACGAGTGAGTTGACTTGGCTACTACACTTCCTCCAGGAAATTGGATTTCTAGTTCAACTTCTTTTGCAGTTGTTCTGTGACAACCAGACAACTATCCATATCGCTGTCAATCCGGTGTTTCACGAGAGAACCAAACATATTAATGTTGATTGTCACTTTATTCGGGACAAGATAGTAGCTAGAGAGATTACAACTCTATTTGTAAAATTTGAAGATCAGCTTGTAGATATGTTTACCAAAGCATTGAGTCATACACGTCTTATAGCGATTTGTTCCAAGCTTGGATTATATGATATATATAGTCCAACTTGAGGGGGAGTTTTAAAAATATTAGGGTAGTATATGTAAATTGTTAATAGTAAGAGAGTGTATGTGTAATTCTTATTATTGTGAGTTAACTATAAATATAAGTGTTGTATGAGAGTTAGGTTAAGTTTTTAACCTCTCTCTTTCTCTCTAATATTGTATTATGTTAATTCACTCAACTTAACAAAAATAAACTAATTTTTAGATTTACCCTTTTCACACTTTGCTTCCAAAATATTTATAAAGTATAAATTTACCTAATAAAAAATCAAAATATATCACTACAAGTAATTCATAAAATAGAATTGAACTAGAAAAAATTAAGCAATATCAAATTCAACAAACATGCATAAATAATTGAACAAATCTTATCAAAAAAAAATTGAACAAATAAATTGTTAACCAAACAAAGCAATAATATAATAATAACATATTGAATAATCGAACAATAACAAATATTAAAAACAAATTCAAAATTTTTTTACATATTATAAATAAAATAACAAATATTTGTAGGTGCCCTAATTTAATGATTGTGTGTGTAGTAAATGTGTGTAAATCTTTGTGATTGTGTGTAATTTATGTCAGGGTGTGTGTGATTATTTTTGTGTGTGTCTTGTGTGTAAGCAATAGAAAAGGAGGCAAAAAGGATTGTGAAACATTTTATGGTAAAATTATCATATTGAAAAAATTATAAAAATGCTTCTCTTTTATAAATGATCTCTTACTTAATATTTTAGCCTATTTTTAAGGAGTATTTAACATATTAAGAATTTTAATTTTAGTTATCAAACTGGCTTAATTAATAAATACGACATACATTCATTTTAAGTGTTAAATTTTGGTTAACAAACAAAACCCAACTTATGCACAGTTTTTTTTTTTTTTGCCTCCATATTTTGGTCTGGAACTTTAGCATAGCTAATGTAGCCAAAATGCAGTGAAGATATAGTTCTTGAATTGAAGTTATGATTTTTAAATTAACTGATTATTTTACCAAATAAAATTGAAATATTGTTCACCAGATGTAAGATAACAAAAAATAATCACTCTAGAAGATCAGGAGTTAATCGGTTGAAAATAATAGAAATTGTTCACCAACCTTACCGCAGTTAGTGAGACAATTGTTCTCCAAATAGTATTCTCCTCGAGTATTTGCAGAAATTAACTTGTTTCTTACCCAATAAAGAATAGTCTAAAAAGCACATGGAATGAACTGTTTTGCCTTAGTTCGCATATTTTGCATTGATTTAATGTTAATATAATTCTACAGGCTTGGTTCAGAGAACTTCCGACGGGTGTACTGGATTCTCTTTCATCTGAACAGGTAATGCAGTGCCAGTCGGAGGAGGAATGTGTGGCACTTGTCAGGCTTCTACCTCCAACCGAAACTGCTCTGCTGGATTGGGCCATCAACCTGATGGCCGACGTTGTCCAAGAGGAACATCTTAACAAGATGAATGCACATAGCATAGCAATGGTGTTTGCACCTAACATGACGCAAGTTAGTTGAAATATTTTTTTGGGTGCTAGAACATTTATGACAGCAACTCTGATGGAAAATCTGATCGATGGTTTTTATCTAATGTTTTGCAGATGGCAGATCCCTTGACTGCATTGATGTATGCGGTCCAAGTGATGAACCTCCTAAAGACACTAATTGAGAAGACACTACAACAAAGAGAAGATGCCGTGGTGGAATCAGCCCCTGTTTCCCACCTTGAGCCTTTTGACGAAAATGGGCATCAGGGTCCCTCAAAGCTTCGTATGGAAGATACTGCTGAAGCAAATGAAGAGACAGAACAGGCCTTCAGTGCTGAAGAACCTGATGTAGACAGTACTTCTGAGTCTAATCAAGTGAATAACACCGTTGACGAAGAATATGCTAATCATTCAACTACCAGTAAGGTATCTGATGGAGGCGGGTCTTGTGAAACTCCTACACAAGTCTATAATGTGACAAAGAATTGTCGGAAGACTCAAGTTGAGGACTACATCAACAGGAGCAAAATAGGCCAATCAAGTGATTCTGATGAAAAAAAGGGTTTTGGAAGAATTAATGGGCAGCAGCTACCTGTACTTCAGGCAATGGGACCTGAGAATAAGAGCAAGGGTATTAGCAATTTGAGCCGTATAAATTCACGGACAGAGCGGATTGAAGCCTGGCGGTGAAGTTTGTTCAATAGCTTTCGGGCCCCGACTTTTTCTGTGACAGGGTAAGTGCAGGTCTGTTAGATTTGGAAGTTGTGAAAATTGTGAATTGTCCATGTGTTTGTGTGTGGTAGGTGTCTTGCTTGGTGGTTCTCTTTAACCTTTTGTAATGTCATTATGACATTTCGAAAACGTGGTTTTCATGTGTTTTGGTGCCAATTCCACAATCTGTTACATCATTCATCTTGTGTTTACCTGATATGGATTAGGATGAGCCTAGACCTCTTGCACCCTGTCTAAGTTTCTTCGGAAAATCTATCGTTTTAACCCTGTGGAAAACCAAATATGGTGCGTGTACCTTCTGCTGCATTAGGACCGCAATTAGGATAGGGTATTTTGATGCAACTACAGCCATGGAACGCTGTAGTTGGTTAGAAGCTGAACCTACTTTCCCAAGTGGTCCACATCACTCAAAAAAGCTTGATATCGACCTTATTAAGTTGCAATCAATTTAAAAGTTCTTTTGATCGATCCTAGATTGATCTCATTTAATCGTAATTTGGACTTTTGGATCGTAATTTGGTATCATTGGATTATAACTTTGATATGATCCATGCAAAGGTAGTTGCACTACATCACTATGGACCCCTACTTTCCAAGTGGTCCAAGTCATTGTACTATGTTATATCAATTTAACATACACCATTGGAGTTGAATATTCGTTGAAACGGTGATACCATATTAACATTGTCACGTAGTATTATTAATCAATAATATACAGACAAATAAGGAAGTAAACTTCGATCAAGTCAATTATTATCCATTCATATAAGTAAATAACTACTCTTCTATGCAAGTCAATAACAAGTTAAGTAGGGTTGACTTCGCTCATTTGAAATTTTATTATTAGTTATTGATATCATGTCATTAATGCTGACATGGTATCACCGTTGTACTGAATATTCTCTCATTGGAGTTGAATGATAGCAGCCAATCAGTTTCTCTAAATAGGCTGGGACAGTGGAAAAGAACCAGTATGGAATATTCTCATGTCTTATAGCAATGAAAAGTATAGGAGGGGAAGGCAAAAATAGGCAGTTGTCCAGCATAATCTATTATAAATCCTAGTTTCCAATGAGGATAGATTTCAACTAGTGTCAATGAGAATTGACACAACCAAAGCTTTCATAGCTCAGTTTGTATGAACATCTCAGATGATAGTAGAAATTTGCTTAAGCTAGAAAGGAAACTGTGGATATGATTAAGGAAAACACTAACTAATGTACCAAAAATTTGAGAAAAGTCACGTTTTAATGGAGTTTTAAAAAGTTGAGATCGATTTTAACACGTTGAAATCAAATTCCAAATTAGTGGGACCTGGGTTATTTGACGTTTTTGAGTCAGAGATGTGCCAGTTATGAGTTTATGTCCTTTGACTAATCCCATCACTTGTACTCTTGTAAATCATACCATGACATGTGATTAGATATTGCCAAATTGGGGATGTAAGTCAATAGACCAACCCACATTTTGAAATTAATTTGTGAGATAATAATATATCAAGATGAAATTATCTCTGAATGGCAGATAAGCCATCATGAATGCAACTAGCAGTGGTCCTTCATCAATGCATTAATGAAAATTGAGGGGAAAAAAAGTTCTACTCAAAGGGATTTGAATCCGATAAAAAGGATCATAAACCACATACTTTTGTTTCGTGGGTGCATGACATGTAAATTTAAACGTAAAAACTTTGGTAAACCATTGTCTACCTATGTTTACTAGAATCGAGGACCCACTCATAAATCGTGGGTTATATTATGAATTAAGGGTTGTAATCTACCGTTGGATGAAATTGAAGAGAAATGTATTAGAAGCNCTCAAAAAAGCTTGATATCGACCTTATTAAGTTGCAATCAATTTAAAAGTTCTTTTGATCGATCCTAGATTGATCTCATTTAATCGTAATTTGGACTTTTGGATCGTAATTTGGTATCATTGGATTATAACTTTGATATGATCCATGCAAAGATAGTTGCACTACATCACTATGGACCCCTACTTTCCAAGTGGTCCAAGTCATTGTACTACGTTATATCAATTTAACATACACCATTGGAGTTGAATATTCGTTGAAACGGTGATACCATATTAACATTGTCACGTAGTATTATTAATCAATAATATACAGACAAATAAGGAAGTAAACTTCGATCAAGTCAATTATTATCCATTCATATAAGTAAATAACTACTCTTCTATGCAAGTCAATAACAAGTTAAGTAGGGTTGACTTCGCTCATTTGAAATTTTATTATTAGTTATTGATATCATGTCATTAATGCTGACATGGTATCACCGTTGTACTGAATATTCTCTCATTGGAGTTGAATGATAGCAGCCAATCAGTTTCTCTAAATAGGCTGGGACAGTGGAAAAGAACCAGTATGGAATATTCTCATGTCTTATAGCAATGAAAAGTATAGGAGGGGAAGGCAAAAATAGGCAGTTGTCCAGCATAATCTATTATAAATCCTAGTTTCCAATGAGGATAGATTTCAACTAGTGTCAATGAGAATTGACACAACCAAAGCTTTCATAGCTCAGTTTGTATGAACATCTCAGATGATAGTAGAAATTTGCTTAAGCTAGAAAGGAAACTGTGGATATGATTAAGGAAAACACTAACTAATGTACCAAAAATTTGAGAAAAGTCACGTTTTAATGGAGTTTTAAAAAGTTGAGATCGATTTTAACACGTTGAAATCAAATTCCAAATTAGTGGGACCTGGGTTATTTGACGTTTTTGAGTCAGAGATGTGCCAGTTATGAGTTTATGTCCTTTGACTAATCCCATCACTTGTACTCTTGTAAATCATACCATGACATGTGATTAGATATTGCCAAATTGGGGATGTAAGTCAATAGACCAACCCACATTTTGAAATTAATTTGTGAGATAATAATATATCAAGATGAAATTATCTCTGAATGGCAGATAAGCCATCATGAATGCAACTAGCAGTGGTCCTTCATCAATGCATTAATGAAAATTGAGGGGAAAAAAAGTTCTACTCAAAGGGATTTGAATCCGATAAAAAGGATCATAAACCACATACTTTTGTTTCGTGGGTGCATGACATGTAAATTTAAACGTAAAAACTTTGGTAAACCATTGTCTACCTATGTTTACTAGAATCGAGGACCCACTCATAAATCGTGGGTTATATTATGAATTAAGGGTTGTAATCTACCGTTGGATGAAATTGAAGAGAAATGTATTAGAAGCGATTTGGATCCATTTTTATTGGCCAAAGGTATGCATAACATACAAATGCAGAAACAATGGTGACCACCAAAAAATGATAACAACCCTCATAACCACCCATCCTTGTTCCACTCCCAACAGAGAGATCGCCCCCTAAAAGCAGCATACCCTAATAAATAGCACCTTCCCCTTGACTAATTATCATCCACCTCCATGCCAATCCCGTGTATCTCTCCTCCTTAGCCTCTCTCTCTGATACATGCACAAACACAAAAGGTTACCTGTATAAACTATTATTTGCTTTCCTATTGTCTCCAACAATTATCCTGGAGAGCCAAGCCATGGCAGTCTGTGGAAGCCTTCAACACATCTTCCAACAGCCAATGCCGGAAAGTCCAAGACTGCTCGATTCCTTCTCACCATGGAACCAGATTAAAGCCATGAAACCCATTGAAGACTCTTCTTTTACAGATATCTTTGGTGAGCTTCATTGCAAAGAGAATCATCCTGAATCTTCCTCATCCTCTCCCCTTCCTGCCTCATCTCCGTCCTCGCTGTTCTCATCATCATCATTGTCGTCGTCATCAACATCCTCATCATCATTTTTGAATGATTTGAACCCAAAAGCTGGGATTGAAAACCTCAACAAAGACAACAATGGCAGCTTGTGTAGCAATGAGAGAAATAACAAAATCCCCACTGCAAATTATTATCCAGGAACCCGAAGAAAATACAGTCACAGTAATAGCTTTTCTTCCATGAATTCCGATAATTTTTCTCTGTGCACAGAGGGTCTTGGATTTGAAAGCTCTGATGATTTAGAGGACTTGAAGAATGAAATGAACATAGATTGGCCACACTACGAAGAGAAAACGAGTAATAGAAGGCATTCACTGCCTGAAAATATATGCAGAGATTCTAAGAGATCAAGGACAAGTGGAAGGGCATTTCCTCCACCCATATCTTGTATAGGCAGAAGTGGTTGGCCTTGGGTGTGCTTTAAATCTTATCGGCACGATGGCAGGTTTATTCTTAAGGAGATTAGGATTCGAACACAAGATTTCCTGCATGCATCTCGAGAAGATGGGAGGTTGAAGCTTCACTTTATTCAATCAGATGATGAAACTCTTGAGGAAGCTGAGGAGGAGGAAGAAGAAGTAGATGAAGAAGATGATCAAATTCTTGAGAAGACAGGCGTTTGAAACTGCAGATTATTCAGTCAGATGATGAAATTCTCGAGGTAGAGAAGAAAATAATGAAGAAAAGGGCGATATCAATCATGGCCACATTGAATTCATGGTTGTAATAAGAATGAAGAGAAAGAACAAAATAATGCTTAGAAGAATGTTATGATCAGCAACAATGAAGCTAAACAAGACTCATAATAGGTAAGCTTTAACTAGTTTGCAAGCCAATTTGCAAAGATTTTTGGGCTCTGTTTTCTTTCTTTCCTTTAGATTTGCAAATAAGCAATAAGGAAAAATATATGCGCATCTCTATATCATTGTTATGTCTCTCACCTTTATAAGCAATTTCAAAGTAAGATTGATTCCTGTAAAGTTTCTCTTTCCTTGCCATTTTGTATCCTCACTTCTCCTAGTATCCATAAAATGAGATGCTAAATTTCTTTCACCTTTTGGAAATGGTAAACCAATCAGGATTGCTGTGATGGTTTACAATCAATTATATATTTTCTAAGTTTGTATAATCTTGTTTCAGGCATTGGTATAGGGAGAAGGTTTTCTTTCTTCATTCTGATCTTGGGGTCACGTGTTCAAGCCATGGATTTATTTGATTTTTCCCGAACCCCCAGTGTAGGGACCGGTTGTCCTAGGTCTCTTTTCTTCACTTTGTTTTTCTTTTAGTTTTTCATGACTCAATTTTAAGTTTTTACACTTTCTCTGAATCATAGGTGAAGCAATAGTAATGAGGTTTCAACTCTGGCATCTAAAGTTTTTGGATACCTTTGAATTTCTTCGAGCAACGATGGCAAAATGTTCAATCTGTGAGCCAGTGTCGTCCCAACCACGGTCATAAATGGGTCGTGTGAGATGTTGATTCAATTTGACTTGACAACTCACAACACGACACAAACCATTGCTAGCCAAATATGAAGAGACTAGGGGCAGCTGATGTAACACCCCCCTTGGTTACCCAACAGTGAGTATGTGTCGAGCAAACGACTGAGCAGTTGTTGCAAAAGGGGAAATAGGACACTAAAAAGAGGATTGACAAGCTGACCCTGAACACACTCATAATGTGATCAGATCATGATACAACAGCAAATGTATCCAGAATGTTCCAGATGACAAAGAAGATTCTGCATTTGGTCCACTACATGTGACCCTAACAAAATGTATAAGATTATTTATTAGACTACCTTTGCCCTTATGAAAGCGGTGTATGGAGATCACAACTTTACACTACAAACGTGTTTCATAAACACACTTTCACAGCCAAAAAAAACCTTACAAGTGCATGCGTGAAACATGCTTTCATAAAAAAATAAATAAATAAATAATTGTATAAATAGATTTAAAACTACGGTATTTTATTATCTGAAACACAAGCAGAGTGGTCCTGCCCTACCTGTTTTTAATCAACCAAAAAACAAATACATTTCAAGCATAACTCAAAAGTAACGAAATGGAAAAGAAAGAACAGAGAGATTCCAGTCAAAGAGCTTCACTGAGACACACTTGAACCGAAACATCAGAAAATGAAATAACTTATATTTAATTTCTGCAGAGTCATAACATTCTGTTTCAGCAAACTTGAGAATGGGTACAGTACTCACCATGCTAAAAGAAAAGGAGAAAGGACAATAAAATGAAATGCCACAATCAATATTATAGTTGTTCCAGGGCCTCTATCTCTTGATTCAGGTCAAGAATAGGATCTTAAACTAGTTCTAGTAAGCTTGTTGACATGAACAAGCATTGGAGCAAGTAGTGATAGATATTTATAGTCTAATACTTCCACAAATTTACATAGATATTATGGGCAGTAAAAAAAATCTTCCCAGGATACATGGCAAGATATATGTCTCAACTCTTCTAAAGATGATAATTTCTATTTCATCTTCGACAATGCATAGACTATGCTAGAAACTGGTTTGTGTTATTGGTTGAGTGAAACAGAATATATGGCCAGGGCGTGTCCAAGCGGCTGTGGAAATCACCGAAGATACCCAACAATTTGTGTGGTTGGTCTGCCAGAAGGAACACATCTCTAAATCTATCAAAGGTTCTTTTTCCTATAAATTTTCAGGCGATAAATTGACAACTACATGATACAAATCTTTTCTGTAAACCATGTCACCTAACAGTCAAATATGTTTAGCACAAAATATCCTACAACCAAGGAGAAAGGTAAAACTGAACCAATTTTATGCGATAAAAAGCATTCAAACAGGAGTGTGGCTCATGGCTTGAATATCAGGATGGTGATACAATGAAAGACAATGTGGACCGCCTAGCATAGCCCTATCACTTGGGAGATTTTGATGTTAGATGATCCAAAGAACATGAATATCATTTTGATATATGTATCTCTCCAGATTAAGATTTTCAGTGGGTAGTCCTACATCATCATAAATGATATTGCATAAGGTCTACCCAATGCTAGATGCAGAGGCGCATAATAGATCGATATGAACATCATCAGCTGTCCCATAATAAAACCAATTGTTGCTAATACCTTCTCCTCGGTTCCTTCTTCCATAATATGTGCTCGGAGAAGGAAGAGATAAGAGGGCCCTATGGAAAATGTGGTCAGAAATCCATAAAGTGTCTAACCACAACGACCGAATTTCACATAGCATGTGATATAGTCACACTGCTAAAATAAACCCTATTTCCAGGAGGTATGAGGCCCAGATACAACACACTCATTTTTTATTACTCACACGTCATACCCAAATGCATGTGAAAATATTTATACAATTCAATTTAACAAAGCTTTGTTCCAATTATTGGTGGTCGCCTATGTGAAATATCTGTGAAGACCAATATTTTTTACTCATGCAACATTAGTACATACTGTGAATTCATTTACTTATCTCAACGAAAATGTATTAAAAGGATAAATCACAGAGAGGCATTCCTTCCATCCATAGTCAAAAGCACCTTGTATAAATCTGGANAGTAGACAAGGCATCATATGAAATAAAGTGAGTAATGGGATGGTTAGTAACACACGAACGAGTGCCTTTCCGAAGAGGAATAGATAAAGAGTCGGAAGTACCTGATGAACCAGGATTAAGAGACGGCAAGGAAGACGATACGGGCACCTCAGTCAATGGTCGAGGACGACGAGAATATACGCGGAGTGTAGAAGTAGACGGTTGCACAGTGGGCAGCGAAATATCTAATGGTAAGGGAAGAGGTGGTGGTATAAAGGATGACCCAAAATTCAGATCCAATGGCTGAGCAGGTGCTGAAAAATATAGAACCAATTCATTAAAAGTGACATTAGCACTAATAAAGTATCGATGAAGGAAAGGATTATAACAACGATATCCCTTCTGTGTGCGGGAATATCCTAGAAAGACACATTTGGTAGCACGAGGGACAAGTTTATCAAACTCATGGCTCAAGTTGTGAACATAACAGAAACACCCAAAAACCTTAGGAGTTAAAGAAAATAGGGGCTTACTTGAGAAAAGAACATAATATGGACTTTGCCCATTTAATACAAACGATGGCATACGATTAATAATATAACAAGCAGTAAGAACAGCATCACTCCAAAAACAACGGGGGATATTCATCTGGAATAACAGGGCACGAGTGACTTCTAACAGATAACAATTCTTAGCCTCAACAACGCCATTTTGCTGAGAGGTGTAAGCACATGAAGTCTGATGAATAATGTCCGTTTTACTGAGATAGGCTAAAAAAGAATCAGATTCATATTCCCGAGTATTATTAGAACATAAAATACGAATGCGACAACTATACTGGATTTTTATTTCTTTACAAAAAACCTCAAATATAGAGAATAATTCAGAACAAACTTTCAAAAGAAACAACCAAGTCACACGAGAATAATCATCTACAAATGGCACAAAATAAAGATATTTATAAGAAGAAATATTTTTTATTGGACCCCATACATCATAATGTACTAACTCAAATGGACTAGATACACGATTATTGCTTTTAGACTAAAAGGACACACGGTGATACTTACTAAGTTGACAAGCTTCACACGACAAAGACGACACATAACTAAAACTGGAAATTTGACACTTCAAATTCTAGAGAGAGGGATGACCAAGACAGCAATGCCATTGGAACAGAGATGACGAGGTCTGTAGAGTCAAAGTAGATAAATCAAAGTCAACGTAATAGAGACCACTAGCTTCATGCCCCGTACCAACTTCCTCTTCGTCTTGAGATCCTGAAACCACAAGAAGAGGAATAAAATGTTACAGAACAATTAAAAAAACGTATAATCTTATTAATGAAAAGTAAACTAAAAGAAAACTGAGGAACAAATAAAACAGAGGATAGGGACAAATTCGGACTCAATTGAGTAGTCCCCAAACTTGAAAGTTTAGAAGAAGTACCATTAACAAGAGTAACACTGTGTGTGACAGGAGTAGACTGATAGGTAGAAAAGACATCAGACACACCGATCATGTGGTCAGAAGCGCTAGAGTCTATGATCCAGGAACTGCAAGTGGAAGACAATAAATAAATGGAAGTGGTACCTGACTGGACAAAAGTAACAGATGAGGGAGATAGAACGACCTGTTGCTGAGACAAAACCTGGGCATACTCTTCCTGTGTAAGAGTAACTGACACGGAATCAGGTGGAGTGGATCGAGGTATGGCAGCAGGAATCGAGGTGTCATCCTGATAAGAAACCTGGTTAGCAACACCCGAAGGCTTGTCGTGTAAATCCCAGCAATAATCAACAGTATAGCCTCCATGACCACAGTGAGAGTATGAAAGAGACCCTGACCACCCTCCATGACCTCCAATACGGCCTCCCCGACCACCACGGCCACCTCGGGAACTGACACCATGGCCACTTGGGACAACAAGAGCTGAACGATCAGCTGGCACACCAGACTCTGTGTTGGATGAACCATTAGAGAAGGTAGCACGCTGCAGGTGGGAGAAAACCATCAATAGAGATGGAAGACTAGAGCCACCCAAAATCTGAGAACGAATAGACTCGTATTCAAGTTTCA